TTTTTTTTTCTCAGAACCGGGGATTGAACTCATGCCCTTGTGCTTTCCAGGTAAGCACTTATTCTACTGAGCTATCTCCCCGGCTCCTTGATCTTTCTTCTTTTAGTATGGTTCCCAGTGTCACTTGTCTGAGTTCACTATGGACAAAGTGTATTTCAGTGCCCCTAGTTTTGGGGGATTGGCTATATTCAAGGTAAGCACTGATTAAGAAGAAGAGAAGTAAAGATTGAGGATACCGTGTTTCAATATTACACTTACAATATGTTTATATGGAATGACAAAGATCAGCACAGAATGTATAGAGTCAAGACACTTATTTCTGGAAAGTTTGAAAACACAATCTTAGGAATAATTCATGCTAAATGTCCATGCTGTAGATACCTGAGAGTAGCGAGGCACGAAGCCAGCAATAATGACTAGCAGTAAGTAGCTCATGTGTCACAAGCCAGAGTCAAGAAAGAAGTGCCTACTGATGTCACATTTCTAGAAGGACTGGACAAGAAGAGAGAAGGAGAGAGGAAGGAAAAAAAAAACCAAAACACGTGACTATTCACTGTGCCGAACTGGAGAAAATAGACAAAAACTCTGTGTGAGCTATTTTCGTGCTTTGAAAAATAGCATGTACTCACATCATATGTATATAATTAACTAAAAATAGAATGAACTAGAGCCATAAAAATACAAGAGCTTGAGTTAAAAGACCTATAATTAGATCATGAATTCCTAATATTGGAGCAAAATTATCTCACTTATGAGGACCTGTTTGTGCAATAAATAAAGACATGGATGACATGGTCTGAAGCTCATTAGTGAGTTAATGTGACGAGGCCCTGCATGTGGCTTCTCCGACTCACCACCAAGGAGGTATAAAAGGCTCTTGTGGATGGTGACATCCATATACAAGACACCAATTTCCAGATCCTCAATAGAACAGTCCACTCCTGACAGCATGTGCTACTATGGCAACTACTGCGGTGGCCTGGGCTATGGCTATGGCGGCCTAGGCTGTGGCTATGGCTATGGTGGTTATGGTGGCTATGGCTATGGTGGCTATGGTGGCTATGGCTATGGTTGTTGCCGCCCCCTGTGCTGTAGAAGATACTGGACCTATGGCTTCTACTGAGGAATTTCCACAGCTCCTTATTCTCCTATTTTATTGGAATAACTTCCAATATTCTTCAAGAGATAACCTTTAAAAAACTATACTAAATTATCTAAAAACAGAAAATATATAACATGCCTTTTTTGGTTCATCTGCATTAATTGGATAATGAGATCATTTTTAGAGAAGTTTCTGTATTAATTTACTGATTCTATGTAGAAGTTAATCAAATTTTCTCTGAATTTTTATATAAACAGATTATTAAATAAAATATGTTTCACCACAGATATTGCTTTATTATTGTTTCATGTTATAAGTTTTGCTTACATATTTCTGTATTTATGTGTGATTAGTCCCATGTTCATATTTGTTGTGTTGTGGTACAAAAATAATTAAGACAAACAAAACAAAATGAAGGCTGCTTTTGGTCATAATTTGAGGTATCAACTGAATGAGTAAAAATATTATTTTTTCCAATGAACCATACAAATGTGTTCTTAAATATGTCTTAGAATATCAACTTATTTTCTCATTCTCTGTCTCTTCCCCTATGTTTTTATATACCATGACATCTGCATTTACATTATATCATTCAAACCTGTATATGTCAGGACATGTAGTGTTATTCCTCACTGTCGCAGTTGGCTTACTTCAGCTAAAGCTCTACTTTTAAAACATTTTTCTTATTTTTCAAACAATATCCTGTACAGAAAATGATAATAGGTATTTTCTTTGTCACTTTTCTCATCGTGACAGAAAATTTCTAACACACCATATAGGAGAGGAGTTTTAGGTTGGATCATAGTAGTCTGGCTACCAGCAGAAAGGTCATGGTGAAAAGGCTGAGGGAGGCGATAAGGCATTCTTCTCCTGGAAGCCAAAATCAGAGTAAAGAGGAGCTAGGGAGGGAGACGTGCCCTTCCAGGCCCCACACCCATGTCCAGAGCCTACCCAAGCCCCTTCTCCATAGCACACTGAACTGCTGTCATCTTAGTGATGATGAGCCTACAGAGTATAGCACTGCCATGGGCAAGGCTCCCTTCAGAATTCCTGCCTCTGATTGTGCAATTGTTTTCAGGGCATTCTCTTCCTAAACCATCACAGGTGTTAGCATATTAAAAATGTTAGCAAATCTAATGACATTTAGATCAACATTGCACAAAATATTGTCTCAATACCCATCAATTTATACTTATTGTTAGAAAATATTTGCATTACCAATATCAAAACTTACCCTTATAAGACCATGGGGCAGGGGCCAGGGAGATAGGTCAGTGGAATAAGTGCTTGCCTGGCAAGCACAAGGGCCTGAGTTCAATCCCTGTTTCTGAAAAAAAAAAATAATGATGATGATGATGATGATGATGATGATGATGATGATAACAATAAATGATAAATAAATAAGTAAATAAGACCATGAGGTATTTCCTCAGCAACAAAATAATATCAGGTTAATTTGCTTAGTCGTCCCTGCCACCTCAAGATATATGAACTTTTTCAATTCTTAAGTGTTCATTCATACTGATTTTCTCTGGATAAAATTGGCTTGCATCCTTAAAGAAGATAGATTTCACTTGAAAAAACTCCAATTGGCACCATAAAATTAAATAAACCTTGATGGAGGTCTGGCAAGATAGCTCAGTAGACTGAGCACCTGCGTAGGCAAGTGTAGAGATCTGGGTTCGATCTCTGGCACAAGTTGGCCCCAGCCCTGAGCACACTGAGCCAGCCAACAAGACTGGTTGTGGTGGTGCAAGCCAGTCCCAGCTCTTGGGAGTCTGAAAACATGAGGATCACTCCAAGTCTGAGCTGTGTAGTGAGAGCCTGTACCAAATACATTAAAATTTTTTTTGTTTTTTTTTTCATTCAATTTAAAGAGAAAAAAGATAAAATAGCAATGAAACAGTTTCAAAACAAGTTAGTAGGATGGTTACAATAACTAATACATTGCATATTGTTTTCTGTATAGTAATTACTCAGAGGACAAGACGTAGACATGCTATCTTCTCTAAACAATACAAATACAAACTTTTATTCTCAATGAACTAAGAGAAAGTGGCTGTATATCTATCCTAACTTTCTTGTGTATACATATATGTATATATTTTTTCTTTTTTTCACAAACAAAAACTGTCCTTTATTTATACTTTTATAAAGTTAGTAAGGCATGACACTAGGTTACTTAGGAACTGAGGGCTAACCTTAACCAGACAAGATGTTCACCTTGGGGGTGAGGTAGCTTATTTGCTTTAGGCACTGGGCCAAGTTCCACCTACACATATTTGATCGATTTCCTAACTTCATGGCTACCAACAAATCCCCCTTTTTCATTTTGTTTTGTCCGAGATGGGTGTTCCACTGAAGTTACAGAAGCTGTATTTGGAGGTCTTTAAAGGACCGTTTCACACTGGAAGCCAGTCCAAAAACTGTAGGTACTTGAATTCAGCAAAATAACCCAAAATAGTCCAATAGTCCATAATACTAGTGGGTTATCAGAAGAACTGGCAATTGCCAGAAGTTGTTGACTTGAGCCTTTTACAGCTCAGCATATTAGTACGGCATTTTTTATACCTCGTGGTTATACTTTTCTGCTGGATGATTAAGACCAAATTAAAGCAAGACCTATATAACTAAAACTGTAACTTTTGTATCTAACAAGGTCATTCAAATTCTCTCAGCATTTACCCTGGAACCATGTACAGCACCTTGTAGATCATTTGTGAGTGTCAGCCATCTGGATGAGTCATGGCCATTGCTAGAACAATTTGCTGTCTTTGAAAGCCAGAGAGAATTTTCTCTCTCTCTGGTGACTCTCCTTAGGGACACTATACACCATAGATCACTTTCCTATGTGGTCCCATAATCTTGATCACAAAATTTGGGACATCACTGAGTTATAGGATGTCAAAGCACAGATTCTCTTATGTCCTAAGTCCTCACCGACCTTGAAGTGCTAGGGCCAATATTGGCTACCCTTGTAGTCCCTCTATTTCTCTAATTTTTGGTCTTCAAACCTTAGTTGTTAAACATCCAGAAGAAAAGCTTAATGTAAAGAGACAGATGAGCTTAACATCACTATCTATCTGAATATCAAATGCCTTAGACATAACATGAAACTGATATTTTCCAACAACCATGGATATTTGAAAATTTAAATCCCTGTAGAATGTGAAAAACAAAACAAGTTTTACACAGAAATTTAGAAATCAAACCAAATACAACATTGTATTAGGACAATCCTATTACTTTTTTCTTATATCTTGTTTTCATTTATTATATCTTTTTTCTGCAAACATTTACTTTAAATAGAGTATAGCAATAATTCATATGACATTAGAAGCATTTCTTATTCACAAGACCAAAAAGACAGGTATTTCAAGCATGGTTTTAGTATTACATATTGCTATCCTCTGTGCAGTTGCTTAGTTCACAGATACCAGCATATAGAGTTACTCAGGGTGAGAATTCTACCCACTACTTGCTATTTTCAAAAACCTGACAGAGATTCTTAGGACCATTGCCTTAACCAACTTGTTTGTATAAATGTATGGCTTTGTTCCCACCATATTTCCAAACTTTGCTCCTTTCTCTCTTCTTTGTTTAATCCTTAAGTTCTTGCTTTCCATTTAAGTGTGTTATAACTTTCAATTTTTATTTCTTCTATAGAGTTTTAACAGTAGGGAAACAATAAGATATTTACACATGTGGGTCTGGTGTATTTCACTTATGGGTATATCTTCAAGTGACATCCACTTATATATGAAGACTCTAAGATTATTTTTCTTTATAGCTGAGTAATACTCTATTGTAAAAAAAAAAAACACATCTTTTTTCATCCATTCCTCAGGTGATGGGCATTTTGGTTGTTTCATTGTTTCCAAGATTTGGCTATCACAAAATTTGCTGCTATAAACAGTGCACATACATCACTATGATGTGATGTTTTCAGTCTTTTGCAAAAATTCCCAGAAGGAGAGCTGAATTGAATGGGATTTCCAGTCTTAGCTTTTGAGGAGTCTCCACGGTGATCTCCATAAATGGTTGCACCAGTCTACACTCCCACCAGCAGTGGAGAAGGGTTTCTCTATATCTTTGAGGTATGTTGGTGGTATTTTGATAGGTATTGCACTAAATATGCATAACAATTTTGGGAGTAAGGCCATCTTCACAATGTTGGTTCTTCCCATTCGGGGCAGGGAATAACTTTCCATTTTCTGAAGGCCTCTATGATCTCTTTTTTCAGAGTACTGTAATTTTCACTGAATAGATTTTTGATTCTTTAGTTAGATTTTTTCTTATTTATTTCATTTTCCATGGTACTATTATAAAAGGTATTGTGTCTCTAATTTCCCTCTCAGTGTGTTTGCTATCTGTGTAGAAGAATGCTATTGACTTTTGGGTATTGACTCCATCCTGCTATGCTACTAAATTTGTGTATTAATTCTACAACTTCTTGGTGGAATTTATTGGGTCTTCCAAGTAGAGTATCATGTCATCTGAAAATAATGATAGTTTAAAGTCTACTTTCCCTATTCTTTTTTATATTAATTTTATTGTGAAAGAAGTAGCAATGAAACAGTTTCAAAACAAGTTAGTAGGATAGTTACAATTAATACATTGCATATTGCTGTCTTTGTAGTAGTTAATCATAGTACAAGATGCAGACCTGATATCTTGTTTAAACACTATTAGTTCAAAACATTTTTCTCATTGAACCAATTGAAAGTAGCTGTATACCTATACTAATTTGTATATATATAGATTTTTTTTCACTACAAAATGGTCCTTCATTTATATATCCCCCTTTTTCTTTACTTTTGTCAGAGATGAGTATTCCATTGCCATTCATATATTGTATGTGCATGAATTCAGCAAAGTAATCCAATAATGTCAAATAGTCTGTAATAGTAGTGGGATTCTGCATGAATGACAAAGTTAGAAATTGTTGACTTGAGCCATTTACAGCTCAGCATATTAATATGGATTTACTTTTTTACCTTGTTTTTATAGTTTTCTGCTGG